GCCCGCAGGTGTCCGAGGGCGCCTCCCGGCCGCCATCGGCCGCCCTTACCGCAGCCGCGCTCCTTACGGCCGCCCGGCCGCTGCCGCCATCTTCCGCCTCCTCGTCCTGCTGCGGCCCTGCTGACGCTAGCGAGTCGCCACGCCCGGCAAGAGCGGCCCCCCTGCGCCTGCAGGGAACGCTGGGATACCAGCGGCCGCCCGGGGAAGCCTCACCCCCGCCCTCGCCTGCGCCAGGGGGCGAGGTTACGTCCGGCCCACCTCTTTTGCATATTGCACCCACAATCCACCGCGTCTATGAGGCCAGTATAAGACGGTAAAATTTTGATAAGATATGGGATTTTGCGTGACGGAAGACACTCAAAGTAAGTGCAAGCACAGAATTTATTTGGAAATATACAACTGTAGGAAGTTATGCTAAACATAAGACTGACCATAAGTTCTCCTAACTGTAAGGTAATTAGTTTGAAGGTCTTTAAATAACCGTAGCTGAAACCTTCGAGTCGTGCTCGCTTCGGCAGCACATATACTAAAATTGGAACGATACAGAGAAGATTAGCATGGCCCCTGCGCAAGGATGACACGCAAATTCGTGAAGCGTTCCATATTTTTGCTATAGTCCGCAGCTGGTCAGCTCGTTTTGCTTCCCTGCCCCGGACTCCCCGGATGTCCGTCTCTCTTGGCACCAGAGGTTGGCGATAGCACAATCTGGCCGTCCCCGCTCATGCACTCAAGCACCTGCCCCTGTAGCCCTCGGGCAACAGTAAGTAAATGCTCTTCAGGGGCACGTATTGAGTCCCTCCTGCCTACATAAGAGGATACTATGGTTTCTGTTTTTGGGGTTTTTTTGTTTGAGACGGATTCTCGTCACCCAGGCTGGAGTGCAGAAGCGCGATCTCGGCTCTCTGCAACCTCCGCCTCCCGGGTTCAAGCGATTCTCCTGCCTCAGCCTCCCAAGTAGCTGGGATTACAGGCATGCGCCACCGCGCCCGGCTCATTTTGTATTTTTGGTAGAGACTGGGTTGCTCCATGTTGGTGAGGCTGGTCTCGAACTCCCAACCTTAGGTGATCTGCCCGCCTCAGCCTCCCAAAGTGCTGAGATTACAGGAATGAGCCACAACGCCAGGTCTAGACAGGGTTTTTTGTAGATCCATGTTGCCTATGGTCTGAACTCTTGAGCTCAAGCAATCTGCCACCGTCAGCCTCCCAAAGTGCTGGGATTACAGGTGTGACCCACCAAGCCCACCCAAAAAAAAGTTTTGGTTTTTGTTTGTTTGTTTTGACACAGAGTCTCACTGCCGCCCAGGCTGGAGTGCAATGGCGTGATCTTGGCTCACTGCAACCTCCGCCTCTTGGGTTCAAGCAATTCTCGGCCTCAGCCTCCTGAATAGTTGGGATTACGGGCGCCCGCCACCACGCCCAGCTAATTGTTTTATATTTTTAGTAGAGACGGGGTTTCACCATCTTGGCCAGGTTGGTATTGAACTCCTGACCTCGTGATCCACCTGCCTCGGCCTCCCAAAGTGCTGAGGTTACAGGCGTGAGCCACCCCACCTGGCAGAGAAGGGGTTTCACTGTGTTAGCCAGGATGGTCTTGATCTGCTGACCTCGTGATCCGCCCATCTCGGCCTCCCAAAGTGCTGGGATTACAGGCGTGAGCCATGGTGCCTGACTTGTTAATTTTTATTTTTTAGAGACAAGGTCTCACCCAAGCTGGAGTGTAGGGATATGATGATGGCTCACTGCAGCCTCCACCTCCTGGGCTCAAGCAATCCTCCCACCTCAGCCTCCCAAGTAGCTGGAATTACAGGCATGCATCATCATCCTCAACTAATTTTTTAAAACATTTTTAGGTCAGGAGATCAAGAACATCCTGGGCCGGAAATGTGGCCACAGGTGCACCAGGGTCCACTGAGCAGCCTGGAAGTGCGTGGGCTCGGTGCCATCAGGGAAGCGCAAATACCCACTGATTTGCTATTCTATTCTACTATTCAATTTTATTCTTAACTTTTATTTATTTGTTTATTCTTATTTTATCTTTATGTTAGGGGTTGACGACAAACGGAGTCTCTCTCTGTTGCCCAGGCCTGGAAGTTGGCAGGTGGCCAACGATCTCGGGCTCAACTAACAAGCTCCGCCTCCTCCCAGTGTTCAAAGGCGCCCCATTCCTCCGGACCTGGCCCTCAGCCTCCGAGTAAGCAGGGCGGCTCCCCCGCCCACCCAACGCCCAGCAGCTATTTTTATGCAAATTTTTTAGTAGTAGAGTGGGAGTTTCACAGGCCCGGCGCGGGGCGGGTGGGCTCAACCGCCCTGTATATCCCAAGGCCAAGCTTTGGGAAGGCGCCGAGACGCGGACGGATCCGAGGCTCACGGAGAATCGTAGACCATCCAGGCTAACTAACGGTGAATACCCGTCTCTACTAAAAAAATACAAAAAGAACTCGGGCGCAGGTGGCCCGGGCGGCCTGTAGTCCCGCAGCTACTCGGGAGGCTGGAGGCAGGAGAAATGGTGGTGAACCCGGCGCGAGGCTGGAGGCTTGCAGTGGAAGTGAGATCGGGCCAACCATGCACTCCCAGCTGGGATGAGCAAGAGCAACCCGAACTCCGTCTTCAAAAAAAAAAAAAAAAAAAAAAACAAAAAAAAACCCAGCAGGATGGAGTTTCACCGGCCGTGTTATCCCATGTATGCTTTGTTTTTTTTTTTTTTTGAACGGAGTCCTGCGCCTCTGTCACCGGGCCAGGGCCTGGAGTGGCAGTGGCACGATCTCAGCCTCATTGGCAAGCTCCGCCCATCGGGTTCACGCCATTCACTGCCTTCAGCCTCCCGAGTAACGACTGGGACTAAGCAGGCGCCTGGCCACCTCTTCCGCCCGGGCTAAGTGTTGTATTTTTAGTAGTAAAACCGACGCGGGGCGGGTTTCACGTGCGTGTTAAGACCAGACGATGGTTCTCTGATCTCGCTGACCGTCGTGATCCCATCCCGTTCTCGGCCTCGACCCAGTGCTGAGGGATTAAGACAGGCGTTGAAGGCCACCGGCGCCAGACCGGGCCCCAGCGGATGGTCTG